TATCGTTGCTACTCGAGTTTCAAAAAATACCGACAATATTTGATTATTTATAAGATATGTATGTATAGGTATAATATTTGTAAGCCCTGACGGACAGTGGAAATTACATACCAATTTTAAATATGTATTCTTTTAATTAAATCACGCAACTGTTGGGTAGGTTGGCATGAAAATTTTTTTCTCCACACTCACAATACCACCTGACACCAGAATTCGAAATTTTGAATCGATTTCTAAGCCTTACTAACTGTATATTTTATCCTGGTACCTTGAAACAATTTCTCAGGAAAGTGCTTAAATCACAATTTCTATTAAGTTATTATCTAACACAATCGTTTATATTTACATTTACAGAATTTCCTACTGGGCATATATGCACATTCGTTTCATAGCAATATTACCGCGCTTTAGGGTTGTGTTTTGTTGATAGCTTATAAAAACGTAAAAGTATCTGCTTATCAGCAGATTTTTATCTATTTTTAGCAGTATGTAGTGTCCGTTATCATGCCATAACTCGCACTAAGTTATTAAATTAAGCATGAGTGATAAGGCACAACCAAGAAATTTAAATTAAAAAGTCTTACTATTTTTTTGCCCATAGTAAATAAAATATGCAGTGACATCTAAATTTGTAAGATCTTTAATATGCGAGCTTTAAATGCCTACACAACAAGTCTACAAATATGCCCAGGAGTGGTACTAACATGCCGGTCGCCTCACATCTCACCTCTTCATTTATTTAAGGCGCCAAATTAACGAGTGTGAATTTAGCTATGCACTCATACAACAGCAAACATGAATATGTATGTATATATGTATATGTATAACCAACAGTGATTTTATGCATTTCCATTATTGATGCTAATGAGCTATTTATACCGTCAAAGAAACATATTTATGTTACAGACTGTAGAAATAATCGTACGCTCGTATCTTTGACCCATTAATTTGTCGTTGCAAAAATGCAACATGGCATGTGGGATTGCAGAGCACACATATTCACACACAAATTCACACACAAACACACTCATACTGATGCATAAATAAATAATAATTGTCATTGTCGCTGTGACTGGGTCAACCGAGACTGTGGCAATTATTATAATAACAAATGTTTTGGAACTACTATAGACACCTGTGTTATTTATGATAATATTTTTGTATCTATAAACTTATATATGTACATATGTACATTTAAGTTCTAATTACCAATACTAATTGCTCGAAGAAAATTTTGCAATCACAGAATGTCTGGATCGTAATTTATGCCAATTACATGCAGTAAGCGCCTACAAGTAGACTAAAATTTCGTTGTTATTTTTGCATTTGGGTTATTAAATTGTGGAAAAATTATTTAATTTGATATGCGTTTTAAAGTAAAGCATGTGGTTAGCTTTTACGTTGTGTAATCCCGATATCAAAACAAAGCGCAAACATTTAACTTTCGGGATTTATTAAAAAGTAAATTATATACCGAAATTGTCTTTAAAATATTGTACAATGTCAATAATATTCTTGTAGAGTCCCGAAATGGCGGTTTCGGGTTCGGGATTTTTTCGGGATTTTTGTGTTTTGTAAAACAACAATTTTAGATTGTGTATTATTATAATATTACTTTTATTATACTTTTCTTTGCAACAGTCAAGATAATAATTTATGACACATTTTGCGCTTAAAAGTCGACTACGATTGTGTAGCCATTTTAAAATTTTGGTCAATAAAGTTGTGAAAATGCTTAATTTGGGATGTCTTAGAATAGTTCTTGCGATTTATTATGTATATTATATTATATTTTATTTATTTATATCGCTTCGGTATCTCGATAACACAGCGAAACTTAAACATTTTACTTTCGGGATTTAGTAGAAATTTATTTTTGTACGAAAATTGTCTGTAAAATGTTCTGCCGTGTTAATAATATTCCGTTAGAGTGCCGAAATTTCGGGATTTTTTCGAGATTGCTTGTTATTTGTACTCCATTAGCATTTGATTGCGTTTTTTTACTTTTTAAATGCAAAATACGATAATGCCTACACTTATCTAAACATATATTTGAGTGGCAGATTTAGCTAACACTTATTTCAGTATGTTATAATGTTAAATTTGTCCGAAGTACATAAGTGGAAAATATACAGTTTGTGATTTATATTAGAGAAACAATATTTTTTCGTTAACAACCTACTATATAAGCAACCATTTTGCTTTTGAACAGGCAAAAATAGTATCATTATAGCCTTAATTTAATTTTGTAGCAATCTGTTTACTATTTACAAGTCCACTTGTGAAGAGATATTGCCCTATAGGAATTGTTAGCACTTTTTTAGGTGAAGAGTGATGTGAGTGGTCTGAATTGAGATGAGTTAAGTGATTATATAAGTCAGGTATTCGCTGAGTTATCCTTGAAGGCGTCCGAAATATTTTTGGCAACAAATTTTTGTACCGAAAACATTTTGAAAATATTTTTTGTACATAATTTTAGTACAAACTTCATTCACTGGTAAGATGAACTTGCTTTATGACCACTCTTAATTCAAAAAAAAATATTACGATTTTCTTAGAATATATTAAAATATTTATTTCTCGCTTACATTTAGCTAAAAAGTTTCATAATATCCACATCCAATAAGAAATATAAATTTTGTACAGCTCATATTTCCTACAGGGTTCATGAAAAGCGCTCAAAATTCCACTTAATTGAAGTATGCTTATACGAGTGCATATGTGAGTAGGTAGTTATGCACTGTACTATTTACAAATGCAATCATTGCAACAAAAACAAATACCCACTTCACAACAACTATTAAATTTATGAATTTCTTAATTAAATGCCATAACGCTTGAATAATTTTCTTCGTTTGCGCGCCAAAATGTGTGTGTGCGCTAGTTTGAGTGAAGAAAAACCAACTCACTTATACTCTTACATACAAATATGTTGCACTTTTTAGTGTGGAATTCAGCTAATTACGCTTTTTATAGGAAAAAGCATTAACTTCACGGTAATTGCATGCAAATACACTTAAAGAAATAATAATAAAAAATAAATTTAAAAAAAAAAACTTACCAAATTCGGCGCATAACTGCTTTTCGCATCATTAACTGTTGGTAATGCAATGGGATTTTTGGCTCTGGGTGAACTGGAAAGAGGAGGAAAGAGAGAAACGGTTCAAAATGCTTGCAACAAAATAGATTAAAATGTGGAAAATTTTGCTCTGTTTCATTACACACTTATAGCAGAGGTATGACATTATTTTGGTGATTTCGAGGTAGCATAAGCAAGAAATAAGCATATGAACATATAAACACACTTACAATTATTTAAGTTGCACTGTTTGGAGTTGGAGGCACGAGGCAACAGTAACGACTTATATATGCAAAAATAGTTATAAATCAGCTCTTCATGCGGCAAATAAATCTTAAAGGATAGACAAAAAGGGTTTACATAGAAAAGGTTTTTGATTTGGTAGAACGCTTAGGCTTTATATATACTCTTCATCAGAATTGCAAACAGAATATATCATAAAAACTTTGGAAACCGATTTCTATAATTGATTACGTTTAACTACATTATATTATATATATTTGGCATGAAATTTTTCACTTC